GTGGAATATATTTTTCACGCCCACACACCATTTTACGATGTTCACGTGCGACCACCATACTTTATCAATGATCCTATCCGATATGGTGATTAGCGTCCGGAGAAGTATAAATTTTGTTTTGCGCAAAACTATTCTGCTTGGATTAATTACACTGACAAGTCCATAAATCCAAATGTTTGACGCTACAATACAGTGGGACACGAATTCAGCATAGAGAGAACAGTGACGTACTCAGGATTCTAGTAAGGTGTGGGCCAAACCCTTTTCTGGCCAAAGGAAAATTAAAAGAAATTTTTATTTTCGATTTCAGTCAAAATACATTTTTCTACTGCAAATTGAAGAATACGAAATTTCCATGGCTTATCCTTGGTCTAATGCTGGGTACGTCGCTGAGAGAGAAAGGTATTGTGCCATCATAATCGTCGCATCTAATAGAACTATATTCCATTTGAAATCGCGTATAAGTCGTTTAGGGAGTTTTTCCTCATTAATGTGAGAGTTAGCCTAATGTAGAATTTTGTCTCACAACAGTATATCAGGTTAGCCTAATGTTCATGTGTTATTAGTAATCGAATTTTCTTAACAACTGAATCAAACTATTCACGTTTTTTTACTTGTTTCAGTATTCAAATTTATCTACGACAAGCATTCAAAATTTATTTATCGTAAAAATATACGCAATAAATCCTTATTGTATATATACATACCTTATCATCTTTAAGAATGTTTACTAAGAACATCATTATATGCTTCAAATTTGTGCTGTTTAGGCATTAAATAAGCACTGCCTGGCAAATAGCAGAAAAAAGTTGATTTTGAAGCGTAAGTCATACTCTGTCTAATAAAATTGTAAAGAATTATTAAGCAACTATTTGTTGGTTCATAAGAAAGTCAGGAGATTTTTAGTGCGACAAATGGTCCCACAGTTACTTCTTGTAATACCCAGACATGTTCCAGGATTAATTACCATTTTCAATCAACTGTGATTAACTTTCACGAACTTTCTATATAGTACCTAAGGGGAAATTTTATCGACTTTTAAAAATGGATAAATAGTGTAGCCGGAAAGAATAAGAATATGAAAAGTATAAACTGCAAGGAAAATCATTATATTTATTGAACTCAGATATCAGATAAATTAAAATTGGAATACGAAAATCTTTCCTAAATTTCAACAAGCTTTCGACTTAGATGGAGAGAGGTACAAAGGCTTACAACGCTTATAGTAACCCATTACACGTAAGGCATATATGTTGGATTAGTTTATAAACTAATCCAAACACTGTCCATGGGGAAAGTTTGTCGACGTTTCACGACGTTGGGATGGTGCAATTGTAACATCAAATGCGCGGTCACGTGTGAACTTTCTATTATTTTACCAGAGAGAACTTCTTTTCACATGTGTTCACACATCATTTTATGACTTTCACTAGTGACCACGTGCGAAGAATATGATGTGAAAATTTTTCATGAACAGGTCACGCGTTGTCACAAGTGGAATATATTTTTCACGCCCACACACCATTTTACGATGTTCACGTGCGACCACACTTAATTTCATGATATTCACACGTGTACACGCCGTTTTATATACTAAAATTTCCCCATGGATATGTTGCTCAGTATGAGGCTGAAAAACTTGGGTTGATCTTAAATGTAGCCAGGATTTAGTTCTAGGGTAGAAAAAGAGCCTACCTTTTTGTTTTTGCCTTGATTTTTGAGAAAAATAAAAACTTTTCTAAAAGTTGGCAAGATTTTTTTTTATTTTTCTCAAAAACCAAGGCAAAAATAAAAAGGCAGGCTCTTTTTCTGTCCTAGAACTAACTCCTGGCTACATTTCAAGATCAACCCACGTTTTCTAGCCCTTGAAATGAAGGAGAAATCTTGGAATTACGAAAAGCTATGACGGTAAAAATTGATTTTGAGACATGATAGCGCTAGTGTATTGCACACATTTTAGGGCTCTTAGTAAAACTGCCATAACTTTTGATCAAAGCATCGCTCATAGTTGGGAGATAGCCAGTTTCCACTAAAAGTTGGTTCTATGATCTAGCATCACTGAACTCCTTTTTCATTCTAGCATTTTGCTGGAACATTAGAACTTCAGAACTCAGTTTTCTAGGCTTTTTAGAAAACTTCTTCAAAAACCCTCAGAAACTTTTCATAATGTATGAATTCTAAGAGTAGATATCTTGGACTATCCAACCAAGGCTACACACTTAATATAAGTATGAGAGACAGATTTACGCTTCTTGTTGTAGAAAATAACGTATTCTAATGACTGCATATGAAAATAGTGCCTTCAATGGTATTAGTAACGACACCGATAGAGTCGAAAAAAGTGCTACATTATCTGGAGGTGCAGCTGTGAACAAAGATCAATTAGCTACGTATGAAAGATTTCTTCAATTCCAACGTCTCATCAATTTATATGATACTCAAAGTGCTGTAATTCCGAAAAAAATTGGTAATCCTGCTCCATTAGGTCTTTGCGCTTTTGCCTTAACCACATTTATCTTATCCATGTATAATGCTGGAGCAACTGTCCCTGTGACAGCACATCCTGGTGTTGTTTTGGGTTCAGCCATGTTCTTCGGTGGATTAGTTCAACTTTTAGCCGGTATGTGGGAATTTAAAGCGGGTAATTCTTTTGGTGCTTTGGCATTTTCCGCTTATGGTGGCTTTTGGTTAAGTGTGGCAGCATTATATGTCAAAGCATTCGGATTTTTGGATGATTATAATGACGACCACGTAACAATAAACAATGCATTGGGTGTTTTCTTTCTTGGCTGGACAATATTTACATTTGCAATGTTCATCGCTAGTCATCGAACAAACGGAGTATTGATGGCACTCTTCTTTTTTCTAACATTAACATTTATTTTACTAACGGCAAGTAAATTTCAAAACGACCATTTAAATTTGAAACGAGCTGCCGGTGCATTTGGTATTCTCACTTCAGCTATTGCTTGGTATGGTGCCTTTGCTGCATTATTGACACCAGACACGTCTTATTTTGCCCTACCAGTTTACGATTTGTCAAAAAAAGCCATTATTAGCACAATTGTATAAGCAAACACATATTTCGAATAGACCAATTTCTTGTGTGTAACAAGTATTCATACTAAACGACCGACCATGCCTTATATGATCGACCGTTCGTTTCTTAACCACCCGCCTTTTTCTTAAGCTTTTTAGTTTGTAGAATTAGCTGAGATTTAATTATTATAGACGGTTCGATACTCTAGCTTGTCGTTAGACAACAGTAGACTGTTATGTCTCCATAATACAACTTATAGGGCGCATGTCAATCTCTGCTAATTGTAAAAAGAAGAGTGAATTTTGATTCGTGGACAATACGTCACTTTTGATATGAGGAAAATGCTATTTTTTAAAATAAAAATTTAATTAAATCGAGCAACAAAATCAAAAATTCCATAGTTTAAGAGTTATAGCCATTCTGCTGAATTAAAATATTTCGACACCCTAACAGGAAGTCTAATTTTTGGTCTGAACCAAAAGAACATGGAGATTTTCTAATAACAGATTCTTGTTAATCAGAGTCCAGATTGGATAACCATGCTATGAAAGTCTAGACTTGTAGTGTAACGGAATTTAAATCTTAACCTGTAATATCCTTTATATTTTTAAATCTAGAAGTACGAGAGATTTGTCGGTGATCGATCTCTGCCGATAGTATCTGAATATTATTGATTATAATAGTAAGTTCTCTTGACTTTAAGAATATTACATAACTCTCACTTTTATTCTTAATATTGTCAACTTTAGAATGTTACGGTTATTTATTTATTTTCGCTTAGAAAACATAAAATTAAAATAGGTTTTTACATAATATTATATAACACAACGTTACTAATTGATAAAAAGTACTTGAAAGTCCTGTCCTATACTGATATCGAAATACGTATAATTCCGTAATGAGAACCAAAGCGAAACCCAGTATTGCAAAACAGATAGCAGCACTCGATGAAAAGCTTTCTATGGTAAGATAGTATAAACGGACATAACTATAGATATTTTTAAGTATTCTTGACAATCTATTAGAATATTTTAGAATAGTATTAGAAAAATTTCAATTAGAAAAGATTCATGTGAAATATTTTGTGTAATACTATTGCTGATCGTGTGCCTATTTTTTATATATAAACAATACATTTATATTTTCTATTATATTAAATAAAGCAGATTCTTTCTAGAGGGAGTGTGGACTTTCTGCACATTTTATGCAATTTTAGACTTGTAAGGATGAAACATTTTAATTCTTGATCGACAGTGTGCTTTGTCTTATTTTTATATTTAAACTGGTCAAGAATCAGCGCCACAGATAAAATTCTTCCACTATTTTCAATATTTCACAAACAAAAAGCAAAAAATATACAAGAAAAATAAACAAAACACGAATCATTGCATTCATTCACGTACACACAATAAGAAAAAAAGAGACACAAACAAACACGTAAAAAAAACAAAAAATTTCTACAATTACTATATAAATAATAAACTGAGATCCGCTGGATATGCTTTTACGGAAAACTTATTTTTTGTCGAATACTCTTTCTCACATGAGAGATGGGATGATTTGCACAGACAAAAATTGTGGAAAGATTAGTTTGATCAAATTTCGTTGAAATTAATGAAATATGAATATTCTGACTAGATTAAATATAACAAAAAATAGTAAAACAATACCATGTTTAAAGCGGAAAAGTGTATGTGCGTGAGAGGATTTGGGAACGCAAGAGAAATTAAAAGATAATCAGTGTTAATAGCCTTTTTGTTGCTACTACTATCACACAAAATCACTTTTGTTCTGTTAAATTAATATTCTAAATATTTCATTTATTAAATCTAAATTCGCAAACTTGATGGTGTTCGAATAACTGTGAGAGATACATGAATTAAAGTATAATATTTATAATATTAAAGTATGATATCTATCTTCTGATATTTTGAACGAAAAAAGATTCAATATCAAACAAAAACGTTATTAGAGAAGCGCAATATGGAATGAAAAAGAAGTTTATAAAGAATAGAATAGAGGTCAACTGTTTTGAGATAAATACATTCTCGATAGGAGTAATTTGAATAATCTCAGAAAGACAATTTTTCTACTCTCTAAGTAGTTTGTCATACGTGAAAGAGATCGTGCAGACATAAATGTGTTCATGAAGGTTTAAACTAGTCCATTTTTATGAGAGGGAAACTTAGTACAATTATGTATTTCTATCAGTCACCGTTCTGCCCTTTTCCTCATCGTTCATATAAACAACACTGAAAAAGAGAGAAAGCGAATATGTACAAAAAAGTCCCAAACAAATAACAAAGATTTTATACAAAATAATTGACAACAATGAAAAGAAGAAGAAAAGAGTTACAGAAAATACATACACGGTAAGGATAATAATTATTTGTTAAAAAAAAAAGAAAACGAATCCAAAAACAAAATTTTATTTTAAATAAAAACACAAGCGCAGAAATAAAATAAAAACGAAAACAATTATGGCTTGTTTGCCAGTAAAACAAGAGAAGAAAGGTAACTTTATTTAATGAGAAGAGAACTATAATTTGGTAACAAAAACTACAACGAAAGCATATAATATCGTTGTTACCTCGTTAAAATTATGCTTCCGTGTCATCTCCATCGTGTCCTTTCAGTCGTATACGTGCAAATTCTTCAAAAATAAAATCATCATCTTGACCAGCACTTCCATAACTAAATTAAAAAAAAAAAAAATTAACATACTTAAAAACAAATTTGATTCATTATTTGAAAATTGATGATTGATTGAAGAAATATTGATTAGAATCATCTTATAACCTGCATGTGATAGTTCAGATTGCTTCAGAATAAAATGTAGTTTCAATACAGTCATCCAACCCGCCCATGCTATGAACTTGGTACATACCACATTGGTACCGTACCATCCGAACTCTGTACGATACAAAAAACTTTGACACTTGATTGGTTTTTATGGTTTTGTACCGTACTGAATGATGTAGAGAGTAGAAGATGATTTAGGAAAAAACTAAGAAACAATAATTTATCTGTGAATAAAAACGATTATAAAATTGAATATTCTCCGATATACAACGTTTTTTTTGTTATGAGAAAGACTCATTTCTTCTTACTTTGTATCTAATTGTATTAGATTATGATCGACAGGTATATCATTATTATTATCACCGGATCCATGATGGTTGAAAGATGTTGAATATTCGATCTGACGTGATGGTGGTGGAGTAGGAGGCGGTTTAGGATGTGTCAATGTGAATGGCAATTCGACAGCTAAATCACTATAGAAGAGAAAAATACATATTTTATACATATTAATGACTAATAAATAACTCATACATACCCTCCCATAGCCACAATAACTTTCACTTTTACTTTATATTGAACAATAATACCTAAATTTTCTTTTTGTGTTGCATTCCGAATACTATAAATAAAGACAAACAATTCTTAGATAAAAGAATAGGTAAGAAAATTGAATATTATTATCATACATTGTTGAAGACGCTAAATTTGTATCTTCATGTTTTAATTTTCCATCTAATGCTAGTCCCCGTTTATCTTTATTATTGACTAATAAGGGAATTAGTGAATAAACTTTTGTCAAATTTGTACATGGTGTAATTGGAAAACCTTCGCTGAAATTAAACAAAACATAAATAATTGTAAACAATGTTAGAAAAAAACAACGGGTGTTCAAACTCAATTCAAAAAAACTATACGACATTAACAATTGTAACGAATTATTGGCGAATGATGACAGTTAATTTTTTCTGCTTACAAATACCAGAAGTTCGATTGCATGAATTAAAAACTTACTCTGTTTCTAATTCAGCAACTGTACATTTATAATGTGCATTTGTAAACATACATATTTCAGCATATTGTTTCACTATAACGACACGACATAAAGAAGAGGCGGTATTAGTGGTGATGGATACAACACATCTAGATGCTTTACACATATATTTAGCGTGCAATGTACTTAGGAAAATATGCATGTGTGTGTGTGTGTGTATGTGGTTCACGAACAAAAGAGAACTTACGATGATTCAAGTACAGCTACATCACACTTATATTGAGTAGAGCTGTACAAACATATCTCGGCATTTTGAACAACTGTCGCAAAAAGAGAGTTAACTGTTTTTTTTCTCACTTAGATACTAATGGCATACTTTTTTTCCTGTTAACACGAACCTGCTATTCTAATTTTCCTTAATGTTTTGTTTGAATTATTAGTAACAACAACATTCACATTGATACTTTCACCGTGATAATACATCTAAGAAACAAATACACTATTTTCTTAATTCAATTTTAATGAAGTTTTCATGCAATTGTAAGAATACATACATACCTCTTTATCTAATGTACATTCGAGATGTAAAGGCGCTGGTGACATCATAAAATCTTTATGAGCTTCAATGACAGGTTGCGGTGCAGGAGTTTCAGGTGCATATGTCAGTTTTCGAATAGCCAGTCGGACGGAATTTCTAAAATAAAGTAGATAATTTTAGTTTATTATCAATCGTTCATTTTTCAACTAAAAATGAATAATTACTTATTTACCTTTTGTGTGGTTTTTCTTCAACAGTTTCAGCCACATAAGTTTTTAATTCATAATCAACACCACACGGTTTTCCAGTATCACCAGCGGCTGGCTGTAATGTCACAGAGGACGGAGCATTTGACGGCATCTATGTAAGAAAAAAATATTACAGATAGCTATATAAAATGATCATTTTTAGTTTTGACAACATTGAACAATCCAATGGATGTTTTTCATTTATTGTCTATTTTAAACTCTATTATGTAATCAAAGTGGGTTTTACTGCTAATTAACATACTTCAAAATAGAATGGATAAGCATTTGGCCCTAGTTTTCTCAGCAATCGTTGTTGTAAATGTGTTAATGGTTTTTTTTGATCATCCATGGGTGGATATATTTGTTGGGTTGAACAAAATAAATCTTTTCGAAATGTTAAACCTAATACATCTAAATCTTCCCGACCATAACGAAATGCGGCCAAAACACATGCATACACTTTACGTTCTTTAACGTATTCAGGGTCAACTAATACTACACCATCTAAACAGAAAGAGAAGGAGAGAGAGACATAATTATATGATTTAACATAAAGAATGATCATGTTTAGAATCTTATTTTGACTAGTATGCAAGTGAAAAGTAATCTTTCTAAGATCGAACTATCAGTGTGTCAGTTTACCATTACTTTAACATTTCTCCCAATTATTAATGTTTCGTACTTACCGATTGGATCGATATGATCCATATAATCGATAAAATCGCGTTTGCCAAGGTAGCATGTTATCTAAAGTAGAAAAAAGTAGAAAAAAAATTTATCTTTTTTCAATATCAGTTTAGTACATACCTTTGAGTTTGGACTACTTTTTTTGAAAACGCTAAAAATAAAGAAATAGAGCATAATGAAAAGGTCAAAATTGAACTCTTTGACATGCGTTTAACTAGGACAAAACTTTTTTACTATTTCAATAATTGCATTTTTTTTTTTCGAATATCACAATTAGATCACAGTATTTCTATCTAGTATATTTCAAAAAAACATTTTCGAGAGTAAATGAACATGTATTATTCACATAAAAAGTGTTTTAAAACTACGTGGTTAATTGTGCATTGTGTCATAACAAGTATAATAATCATTTTCTATAAATAATGAAGTACTGTCCAAAGACTGTTAATTAACAGAAGTAGAACTATAATACAAATGTTAAAGTTAGGATGCTTTCTGATCCCGACTCCCAAACAAATAAAGGCTAGTTTTTCTAATTAGTCCATAATATACATATATATAGGGCAAACTAAACGTATAATGAGATTGAGACGATTGAACTAGTCCCAAATGAGCGTTCTGAGCATCGTACGCCATTCTAAACTAATTATAAGACTCAAACTAGTTCGGGATATCGTTCGACAATATTCTTAACTTGTCTGTGGCATATAGACGCAAAAAATTACTCACATTGGCGTTTGTACTTCATACATGTAATAATTTTTCTCATATGTACAAAGTGCGAAATAAAGTGAGAAACAATAATAATAATAATTGTAATTAGCCTAATCAAATCAAATATGGATGATAATATACAATTATTTTTCTTACATATGGTCTATATTTATAATGGAAGAAATATGGATCTAAACGTGAATTATAATATGTTTGAATGATCATTATGAACAACTGTTTTTTTGCAGTTTCTCAGTACCTGAACTTTATATCCTGCTCATAAGAACAGAAACGAAAAAGAAAAATAAGAAGAACCGTTCCCGGAAGTGAATGCAAAACTCACAACGAGAAAATGTTCATTCTGTGAAAATGATACTATCGTCGATTATTATTTATAGTTCGCACGCGGTACAAATTCATCTTAAAGAGATCTTTTTCTTTCTCTCTGTTATCTATATCACTAGTTTACAAGGTTGTACGCCGGTTGTTAAAAATATTTCTAGTAATAGATGTAGATGTCAAATACAAGGTCGTTTGAATGAGATGAAGGGAAAAAGCGATAGAGAATGAATAAGAGCGACAAATGAAATAAACATAACACATGACGATGTACATGACTTTTTGCGTAAGTGATCAAAATAAAGAAAGAAAAATATCATGGATATATAAGTTCAGAAAGCTCTTAATAGTCTAGATAAAACTACTTATTTGGTCAAAATTTATCATCAAAAACAGAATAAAAAATATACCCATATTAGAGATTAAGAACAAATTTTCTATTATCCTACTAAAATGATAATCTTAACGAATATAAAATTATTATATCTTCCTTCTTGATAATCATAAAAAAAGTAGATAGGTGTTGAGAAAATTCCAGTGCAAAGAAGCTTTTGGTTCAATACACCTTCCCCTCTCTCTTTCTCTCTCTGCATACTGCACATAAGAAAATCAAGACTAATACTCAACTTTATAACATAATATACTATTGCAAAGGACTTTATGTGGCTAAAAATAGTCAAAGCCTACTGTGTTTTTTTTTGTCAAACCTAACCAATTAAGTGAATATTATAAAAAACCACAGTGGTTGGTAATATTTAAAGAGATGCGTTTCTTCATTTATATTCTCACGTTGCCTGTTGCTATATCACAGTACTAATATTTATCACTATTCTCTCGTGTGTCCCCGAAAAAAAAGCAGAGAAAACGATCAAAAATTATAACAAATAGACTATTTCATTATTAGATAGTTAGATAGTATTTGAGAGAAGCAACTATAACATTTTGTTTTTTATTAGATAACATACTCGATGTTTTGATCTCTTATTAGAGCCATTTTCAAGTAAAATATACAGTTAAACTAAAAATAAACATTTTAAGTTTAATTGTATATTTTACTTGAAAATGATTCTAAGAAGAGATAGAAACGTCGAGTATATTATCTAATAAAGAACAAATTATTATTTTATTCGATAATTATGACTGTTTCTCTTAAATATTGTTTATTTCGTTTACTGACTGTAACACCATTCAATTATAGTTAGATAGCGATTACTATTATTGTTATTCTAATAACAATCTTTTCTATATTAAATTTTTGTCATGAAAACAATAATATGTATATATATACTTTTCTGCTTTTTTTTTTTGTAGAATGAAAAATACAAATAAAAGAATTTCTATTTTTTAACGTTTCAGTTAACATTAATAATAGTAGTATAGAAGTCAAAGAATTATTGTTGTTATTATAATATTTGATTTCGAGACATATGGGAAATATATTATCTAAATAGACATAAAACTTGTAGATTTGAGTTTTTTGAGCCTTTAGCTATCGAAAATACGAAATATTAATCCTAAAATCAACCTACATAAAATTTGATAGGTCATCAAATAAAGTCTTTTAATCAATATCTGTAAAATGTTTATTTCTAAAGTATAAAGAGCGAAACAAGTAAAATATCTACGATGTTGTTATTCATTTGGTGTTATCTAAAAGCTAATGAACATACTCAACTATTGGAAATAGAGCAGAACATTAATACTAACTCTCTCTCTCTCTCTCTCTCTCCCACTTTTTAACTTTAAGATTCTTTCTAAATATCATAGAATTGTAGTTTATGTTTTTTAAAAATTATTATTAAAAAAATACAATCAATGTGATTTGATTCTGTTTACATCTTCGAGCATTATAATACAGTTTTATCTTTCATCTCTATATATATTCAAGAATTACGCTTTAAGTTATAGAGAAATGTTATACAAATCATTAACATTTAAATATTTTTCCTATGCATGAATCAATGATAGTATTAATAGAGATTTTTATTTATTTTTTTACTAAGAATGTCTAGTATTATTATTAATATCATTATTTTCATTAGTTTTAGTCAATCATATAAATCAAGAAACACTCTTTCCATCTTTTATATTTATTCCTCTTTAGTGTCTGATATAATAATAATAATCCACTAAATTGAGACCTCCTATCTGTATCTAATTGTATAATAATCTAGAGCGAAAAATTCTTTCGCATTCTTTATCGATGTCCGACACATAATAATAAAAATCGATTTGATACTCGATAATAAATATTCACTATCATCATTCATATTGACGGATTATAAGAATATGTATCTACTATGCAATGCAAACGGAAGACAAAGAAGACGAAAAACAAGAAGATGAATAAAGTTGAAGTAACCAAGTGAGAAATGATACGTGATATGAGAGCTAATCTTTACATGAAAGAGAGAGAGAAAAAAAAGAGAAAATGTTATTAAAAAAGAAAATCGTTAATCTGATGGTTATAAACCCATATATTGAAAAATTGATATAAAACTGTAAAACATTAGATAATAGTTAATCTAAATAATTTTAAAGTGAAAAATAGCAAAAGTTAGCGTATAACAAAATGCAGAATAGATAATAAACATATAGCTAGCAGTTACGTTAAGAAAGTCAGTAAAGACTCGCTCGCTTTTCCTCCTATTTGAATACATCCATAGGCGATTGTTTTTGTCAAGTAGTTAGTTCATTCGTGTAGACACAATGTACACAGTATTCAAAATCAGATAGACAACATCGCATCTTGTCATTGATATTCAAATAAAGACTATGAGTTGCTGAAACCTCTTCTATAGATAACACAATACGCGCTGTTTTTCGTCAGTACGCACAAGAGTACATCAAAAATACCAACTCTACTAGAATCGTCTACTAATACAAAATAAAATTCTTTACGAAAAATTTAAGATTTTTAGATAAATTTTTGTTATTCTTTGCGTGTAAATTATTAAACAAAACAAAAAAAGATATAGAAAATGTACTCACGGTTTCATATAGGTTCACCCTAGTCAATAATCTTTTAAACAATCGAATTTAATTTTTTGTTATTTCGTATAATGATCACGATAATGATAGGTGATACAAAGATAATGATTGTTTCCTTTTTCCCATGATGGCAATATAGTCCATTACATATTTTTCTCTATCTAATACCATCTCTTTCTCTCTCTATAAGCACCTTATTCATATCTTTTCTTATTCTATTTTTTTGCTTTTTTTATTCTTCTATTTCTATTTTAAATAGTTATAAAGAGTAAAACTAAGAAAATTTTCGCAAAAGAAGAACATATTTTCTATCACCATCTTTTTTTCTTCTTTATTTTATATAATGCTCAAGAAGAAATTTCCCCTGTGTCACGTTTTTCTATAATAATAAAAAAAAAGAAAAAAAGAAAAAAGTGAACAGTACTTATATCCATTCTTCGGATTGTTTTTTGCGCTAAATATTATTACATAAAAAAACAATTGATAATGATTTTCTTCTCACATTTTTTTGTTTTTCTCTTCTTCTTTTCCTCAAAAAAAAAAAAAAAAAGAAAAGACGAAATAATTGAAAGGTATTCTATAGTAAGTGAATTCCAGGAAAAACCGAGAGAAAAGAAAAATGATAATAAAATAAAGAGAAATAAAAACATGATATAATCTTGGCTAAACAAAAAAAGCGGCTAGTTTGACTACCTTGACTACTTTCAAACATTCTGATTTTATAAATCTAAATAAATTTGAATAGAGACTATGTTTTATGATTATCCAACTAAACTAAGAAAGAAGAAAAATAAATTTCCAAATTTTTGTTTCAGGTCAATTTAATTTAATCTTCTTTGTTTTTTAATCTTCATTGTTTTTTTTTTCAAATCTATTTCTTCATCAAATTTTAAACCATTGAATTGTTGACTTATTATTGTATCATTGTATAATAAAATTATACATTATCAAAGAGAAAACAAATTATAAGTGAGTTAGTAATAAACCGAGATTTTTGTTGTTTTTAATCATTTGAATGGAATATCTTTTTATACAATCAATGACTATTTTTCAAGACATTATGAATTATAGACTAACAGTCTTTTTTAATCTTTCAATTATTTAATCAAATATTCATAGTTTTTCTAGGGAAAATTGTTAAGAGAAAATTTAAAATTTAAATCATTTTCTTCTCTCTATTATCTCTATAAAAGAAGAAAATAGGACAACATATTGTTCTGACAGCAATAAAATAGAAGAAGAAGAAGAAGATAAAAAAAAATAAAATAAAAATATTTGCCCTTCTTATTATTTGCAAAAATATTTTAAGCAAATAATAAAAATAAAGAAACTAAAATGTCTATTCTTAATAATAATAAAAAAATATTGTGTTTTCCTTTTCCCAGTAGAAAATTTACGTTCAATTATATATCATAAACACCACCACCTTATGTTTTCTTTTTTCTCATTTATTATGTGAAATAGAAAAGCATATGAGTGTTTAATTTATCTTTTAACAACATATGTCAGATCAATTTACATTTTGACATAAAATAAAGCACAACTCATTTATTATATATAACATAACAAAGATCTGAACAAATAAATAATAAGTTTTTTTTTGTTTTGTTGTTTTTTGTATTAAAACATTTAAAGAGCATGGATCATTCTTGTTCTGTAAAATGATATCTTTTCTATGCTCATTGCGTGATATTGTTTTATATTTTAT